ATATATGTAAGGAAAGTAAAGAGACTGGAAAAATAATAGGGAAGAAAAATATGGAGAGGATAAAAGAAATTAACGAAAGAGAGTCGGCTTAGAGCCAGAAGTGGAAAACTAAAATAGAAAACGAAGATATGAACAGTGAGAGTAGAAAGAAATAACTAAATAAGGAAAGAAGGGGCAATATTCGATTGGTGTGCAGAAGAATAATGAACGGTTTTGTACTTCTGTTTCGCTTATTCCTAGCTCGTTTTTTGTCTGAACGCTAAAGTCAGAGAAGTTGCCGCTGGTCGAAGTTGACTACAAAACAAGTGACGATGCTGACAAGATGCAATATTCTTTTGCATTGCATTTAAGAGTATGGTTCCATGTCTCTTCGGTTCGACTCACGCAGTATTTCTTTTTTTTTTTTTTTTTTTTTTTTCCTTTTTCGCTCGAAAAACTGCACAATGCAAGAGGCAAGAGAAACAGCGAGTTTATATGACAACAACTAGACGCAGGTAACGAGGTGTTTGGGAACAGAGATTTGCCTGCTTTGTGATTGGTTGAGTCAGTTATTTACTTTGCTGAAACTTACCAAGGTGTATGTATGCGTCTGTTATTGACAGGAAGAGAATATTAATTTTTGTTTGTGTCTGTGTTTGCATATATGCACACACACACGCACGCATATACACACACACACTCACACACACACACACACACACACATATATATATGGGTGTGGGTGGTTGGGTGTTTGTGTGTGTGCATCGCTGAATATGACAGGGGAAAATTTGATAAAATTTTTATTTATTTTTTCCAACATCCTTATATTTTTTCGTTTGGTGTGAGTAAAAGAGTGCAGAAATTATCCGTATTGTCCCAAACGCTTTTGGCCACTTCTTTAGCCATTTTTAAGGAGGGGTGTGATTTTAAGTGTTGTTAATTTCTTTTCATGTTTGACTCTTTTTAAGATGTAGTTTTTTGTGCTGTTTGAATAAGAGTAGCGTCTATTCCAAGTTTCGCGAGTTTAGCGTGGCTAGAATTCGAGTTAGCGTCTTTCTATTAAGAAAAAATTCAACACACCATTGAAGACCTCCATACACCGCTGCTGAATAAGGTGAAATTTATATTGGGTGTCAGATGTTTTATTTAAGGGTCTCAATCTAAATTATTCTTAACTAATGTTATTTTTATGTGCTTTTCGAAAGTTGATTTTAGATTTATAATTTTGCCCTTATTTTTTACCAAGACAAAAATGTCGTTGTATAGATTCGTGGTTTATCTATTTTTTCTAAACACTGTGTTTTCAATATGTGACATGTAAAAGTTAGAGAAGGAAAAACCTAATGGTTTTACCATGCAGAGGCCATTAGTTTGGATGCAGTTGTTACTATTATGATCGTGGAATGGGGCTTTCATAGTAAATGCGAGGAGCAGTTTCCGAAGTGTTACTGGTAGAATTTTGGAAGGAGAGATTGTCAGATATTTGTAGATGCAGTCACAAATTATGTTGATCGTTTCTTCAACTGGGACATCGGTAAAAAGATTTTCTACATCGAGCGAAGCTAGCGTTGTTCACCGTATTAAGTTTGTTTACGGACTTTTTAGTGATCTTTTCGAAAGAAAAATCCCCACTAAAATTTACATACGAATTCATTGCGAAACCCCATTCCTTGATGTTGATGTAAAACTGAAATCCAAAGTATTTACCACCTACCCGTATAAAAACACCACTACGAGCTCTTGTCTTCTAAACTATGATAGCCAATGCCCTGAAAGATATAAAATGGCGATGATAAAAAAAAACTTCCTAAATAGAGTAAACCTAAATTCTTCTTTCCAGAGAATAACTCGGAGTGAACAGAAACACATAAAACAAAACATTAGTTAACAATAATTTTCCCAACCGCATTATCGATAAACAAATAAAATTAATCTTACAAAAATAGATTACACCAGTAATAAAAATACCACACAACAAAATATCATCATATTTTACTGCAACCAGATGCACAATAACTATAAGCAGGACGAAGAACATGTAATAATATATTACAGAAAATGGAAAACCGCAAACCTTGTCGTCACTAATCAAAATAACGTAATCAAATCTAAACTAGCGATGACCAATATAGTGTATCAATTTCACTGTCCAGTACGAGACTGTGTTTCTTGTCAATAATCAATTACCTACATCAGTCATACCACCACCTCCTTGAAAAGACGCCTCACGCGTTACTTATCTGGCTAAAGTGCCATACAAAGGCAACTTGTCACCCACAATTAAAAACAACCCACAGGGAAGATTCTGGTTGATAACACTAGCTTCCTATATAGGTCCCGTTACCGAAAACATCTCGCTGTGAATGAGGCCCTTTACATAAAACACCTGGCACCCAGTATAAATCTCACCTTATTCAGCAGCGGAAATGACGTGTTGAATTTTTTTTTAAATAGAAAGATACCAGCTCTAATTCTAGCCACGCTCAACTCGCGAAGCTTGGAATAAATGCTACTACTATTCAAACAGCACAAAAAACTACATCTTAAACAGAGATAAAAAGAAATGAACAACATAAAAACAAACTGTTAGGGTACAGTTGGCCCTAAAGGAAATATTTAACAAAAGTTATTCCCCTTAGACGAGAGGGATGAAAAATAAGGGGTTTTATTACCTCCCCAGTTTGAAGGACAGAACATTGTGGGTACAGGGAGTTCGGCCATGACACCAGGGTGAGCTATACAGATCTCCAAGACCCACATCTTATCATTACGCATCCAGTGGATCCACTCACCATCCGAAATATATTTCAATTAATAAAGTCTGTAGTCTTAATAAAGTTTTGTTAGTAGTTTATCCTCTTGTTTCATCTTTTTATCTTTCTTCACATAACCGCATTTCACCACCCTGGGGACATAACAAAATTGACGACAAGGTACATCTGAACAACGCGTACACACACAAGGATGGATTCAACAATTCAGCAACTCTTACAATAAAAACTACGCTTGATGGAATTATTCTCTGCATCCACATCAGCGCCTTCAGAAACAAAAATATCCACATCAACAGAGACGGTGACGCGTTAATCAAGGAGTTCCACTATGACCAAGACTAATAAAGAGACATGGTTGCACGATTCGGGGATCTTTTTCCGGTTGGAATTTAAAGAACAGCCGTCGACTGGAAAGTCAGGCTCCTTTTACGGAAACATGAACCCTCTGAACACGACCGCTACGCAAACTACATTCTACCGAAGCTCACAGGCGACTACAATTTCGACGAAACAGATATTCGATGAGAACTTCTTTTTTAACATGCGGTTTAATTGCCTTAATATTACAAATATTTTGCTACGTATGCTGGTATCACGAACAAAGAATGTGAGAGATTTAAAATCACCTCAGTCACCAATGCACAGTTTAAGTGTTGTATGTGTTTTGAGGTCGACATTCACACAACATTTCTATCCAAAATTAAACAAAATCCTGACAAAATGCAGTGGAGTGTAAACGACTTGTGAATATTAAACACGATTCGACTATGATACAACAGTCGGTACCTTCAACAACAGCAGCAGTCAACACTGTTCAAAGACAACGCAGTACTGCACCACCGGGTTCGACAGACAAGAAAACTTGCTGGAATTTTGTTCGGTATTGCCCTGTTCGCTGTCGAGAATGTAACCGAATGTGACACAAGGGATTCTGCACCCCCACCATGGTGCAAACCAACACGCAACACACAGCAGCCGCAGAACAAATACAGTCAGCATAGGAAAACACGCACAGTCTGGTAGCAAATTTTCTCCCGAACTCAAACAGGTAGAACTGAATGGCTGTCTTGTTCGTCTACAAATTGACACAGCCTCTGATATCTCAAACACTATAGAAAACCATAGACCAGTCATGTAGCGCAAAATGCATCCAGAGATTATATCCATATCACGGGCGAATTACCATCACACTCAAGAACAAAATGGTACCTGGATTTATATACATTTCAGACTCTAGTCACAGCCTATTGGGACTTGATTTTATTGAATCACTGGGTCTTCTGAACACTCCACTCAATTCTGTGTGCAATATGATATCCAGACCTTCATCTCACACATTTCGACCCAACACAGAATATCATGGTGACAGCTGATGCTTCAAGCCATGGTGCGGGACCAGTGATCTAACACGTATTCGCAGACAGAACTGAGAAAGCCATCATGCATACAACTATGTCCCTGACAACTACTGAAGGTAACTACAACCAAGTGGAAAAGGAAGCTCTTGCGCTAATTTTTTCAGTGAAGAAATGCCATATGATGCTATTCGGACGTTCTTTCAAGCTTCTGACGGGCCACATTACTTTCTGTATTTGGCTTAAAAAAAGATATCCCTGTATACTCAGCTAGCCAATTACAACGTTGGGCGACCATATTATTAGGGTACGATTTTAACTTTTAGTACCGCAAGACAACGGAATTTGGTTAGGCTGATGCTTTATCACGCCTCATCAGTACACAAACAACGCCAGACGATAATACCATTATCGCTGGCATCAGCGCTGAAGACGATTGCAAATTCATGCTCACTGATTGCATCAGAACAATTCCCGTGACAAGTGCTAACATAAAATGGGAAACACAACAAGACTCAATCATACGAAAAGTTATAAAGCTTCTCCGCAACAGTTTCAGCGTCACTCTCTATCGGTTATTGATGATTGTCTGATGTTCGCATATCATATGACGTTGCTCCCATTAAGTTCAGACAGGCTGAAACAACTACATTCATGACACCATAGCTCGCTGTGTGCTCTATTGGCCTAACATAGACTTAGACGCAGAACATACCGTTAAGAGTTAAATCCAATGCATGGAAGCACAAAAAAATCCACCTCGGATTCTTGACTCACGCTGGACATACCCAGAGTGACCAGGGTCTCGGATGCACATTGATTTTGCTGGCCCTATCAATTTTTCTGACTGCTGTAGATGACCATTCCAAATAGCCAGAAATCTTTCCGATGTAACAGACGGACACTCGTTCAACAATTGCAATCCTCAAACGACTATTTAGCCAACAAGGCCTGCCTGAGACACTAGTCCCAGACAATGGGTCACGATTTATATCGGAGTTGTTCTGTCACTTCTGCATCTTATGCTGTATCATGCATATATGGGGACTTAACGCAAACCCTCTTGAAAATGACTAAAGTGGCCTAAAGAGCTTGGGATAATAGACAATACGGACAATTTTTACACTCCCTTACTCGCACTAAACGGAAACATTGTAAAAATGTTGGAACAACTAAATAAAAATTCACCAAATTTTCTTTGTCTGTCATATTCAACGAACCATGTTTGAAAGAAAGATTGTTGCCCAAATATAATTATATATATATATATATATATATATATATATATATATATATATATATATATATATATATATATAAAAGGAAATCTTTCCATCTTAAATCTCTATTCATATTGTCTTTTTAATGAGATATTTTATTTATATCTGAATTATTACATACACTTACACACACACACGCACGTTCGTAATGTATGTTATATGTTGAAATTCAGTGTTGGAATTAACCATCATGTGTCCGCGACCAAGGAGAGTTTTCAAGTTGAAGGACATCGGCTGTGGTCTGACTTGAAGAGGGGTGGATTTCACCAGGTCTACTTTGCATAAAACACGCTACACATGAATAAATATCTACCGAGACATGTGGCGGGAACTGATCAGCTACTCACCTAACCATCACACCTGGCCAAGGTTATATATATATATATATATATATATATATATATATATATATATATATATATATATATATATATATTAAAAATTACTTCGTCTATAAAAATGAAGACTGTTCAATATAAAATGTTTTTAGATATAAATAGTTTGGATGTTGGAATCAACACTGGAACATGACGGTTATTTACGCTACAAGCGATCTTCAGACCATGTGTCACTACTATTTTCACGGTCTCTATAAATAGGCGACTCAGGGATTAAAGGAAATGAAAGAAGGAGAAAACTGGCGCATCCTGATATTCATTTTCTTCTAGGGTTAATGTTTTCGGTTAAATATGGCCATGACATTTAGTTTGCTTATTTTATTTGTCATTTTTTAAACTTGAGGGCAGTGACCGTTTCGTGATCATTCGGACTTTGTTCTGCGTTTAATAGTTGAAAGTAAGATTATTATAAGAAACTAAGTCATATTTTAACACGAAATACAATGTTTACGCGATAATATTATTATTGGCCATTCCTTAACATTTTCATCTGTCTCCCACCAAACCATGTTCTTCTTTACTGTTTCGTATTTAACATTACATGTTTCACTTGATTTTCAAGGCATCCTATTTGCTTGAATATTGTTTTCCATTCTCATACACATCATGTTTCTTTATGTTAGACCTCAACTTTTCTATTGGGTTAATACATAAAGGGAATGGCAACATTCTATTAATTTAGTATCTTTGTAACATTTTTGGTAAAATGAGCAATAGTCCGCTTTACAGAATGTGAATAGGGCATAGCCTTGAATGAATATACAAGGACTCTCAACTTACGATAGAATTCTGTTCCTACGATGCGTCGTAGGGTGATTTGCCGTTAAGTTGGAACGTACCCGCGATTTTATAAGAATATGCACTTACGCCAACCACCTCTACTAATGCAATAGTAAAGTAATAATCTAGGATATAAACAACACATTTATATGACGTATGACTAAAAAAAAATAGATGGAGGACATAAACATAATACATATAATAAAATTAAATTGCTTTAAGCTGCTTGTATATTTATTACCAGTGATGTCCTTGTCTCTCACTGGATGAGATGACGAAGCATAAGATCTTGTCTCTCTTGCAGTACGCAGAAGTAACATTAAATCTGAGGAAGAAAGAAAACTCACGTTAGTTTTTCTTTTTTATCAGTAATTCACGAACATATAATTTAACAATAAAATATCCTCATCTCTTACAGGGGGACTCAATATATATAGAGATATGTTTGAAGGTACATAAAACACAACAAGGACAGTGGTTTATCTTTTTTTTCAGAGCGCTTAACAATGTCTAATTTCATTTCCATTTTGATGGCTTTCCTTTTTTTCAAAGCACCGCCATCAGAAGAGTTTACACTATGCTTGAGAGCCATAATGAAGGCTAATAAGTTTCCATAAACACAACACAAACGAAAGAGATCGAATGCACAACAATCCAATTTTGTGTACAGCCAAGAACTAACCCACACCGCCTATCTTATTCTAGAGCTGTATTCTTCCGCTGCACAATGTATTTGTCCGCCACGTATTTTTCCATCACGCCGTTTGTGTCGTATGTACAAGGCAAACAGCATAAGTCGAAACAAGATTAATGGAGATTGCGTCGAGACTGTTGTTACCCGAAGACTTACTGCACTCTTTAGCTTAAATCATCATGGTTGTGGCCAGTACCACTCAAAAATGATCTTGTCCGTGAACTTAAAATAAATCTCTGCACCTATTTTACTGCCAACAACACGAGCCCAAAACATTATTCCGATTCACCTCTGTTGTCTTCTAAATCATGCTAGTTGATTATTTCCATGAAGAACCAAACCTAGAGATTAAGTCGATTCAATATAGTCGATCCAATTTCCTCACGAAATATTGCTGTTGAAAAATCAGTTTTCATATAACTTCTTTGTCCAGCTGATACATTTTTCTTTGATATTTATTTAAAACTGACAGTTGGTTGCTTTCATAACTTTAGACCAGTAGTTCAAATTTTTATTCCTAATTTAATTTGATGGACCCTCATAACCATTCGATGAAAAAAAATGTTTATTTTATTTTTTTACTAATAGGTAAGTTTAGGAATTGTATTGTACAAATAGTAACTGTATGTGTTTTATTTTTAAGTAAAACCAATTTAATGAATATAAACTTGTGTTTAACAACTAAATTCTATGGAACATTTATGTACACTAATACATATATAGGCCTTCAGATTGGATTGTTTTGCCGGAAATTGTACTTGCTGTTGAAGAGGTTAATTCCGTTAATTCTTACTTTATATATAATCCTTATTAAATTAATTTTATTAATAATATTTTTAAAATATTTTGTTAATTAATTTATATTAATATTTTATAAATTATAATATTTATATATATATATATATATATATATATATATATATATATATATATATATAGTCCTTCTTTTCAGTTTTTGTTCAAATTTTACGTTCAAAGTTTTCGGTAGAGTGAAAGTGTCGATAACTTACATCACTTGATCTCGTTTTCTGATAGTTTTAGAGTTGTTTTTCTATTTTTAGTATTTTAATATAGCATAGATTATTGTAGAAATTCAAATTCATAGTTGTAACAACCGTTCCAATGTGAAATTGTTCTATGAACCACTAAAATCTTACCGTGAACCTCCAATTTGCCACTTTTTTGTGTAGACCTCCCCCCCCAGTTGAGAACATTCGCTTCAGACAATGTATGTAATATTCTATATCTTTGCTTTCTATTTATTATCACAATATCAGCTTCTTGCTTGATTTTTTCGTTTTTTCTTCTTTTTTTTTTCTTTCCCTTTCTTTCTTGGTGGTCAATCCACTTTTCTTGCTTATTACCCCTTTCATTTTGCTTATATCTCTTTCGGTGACATTCATAAAAACACTTTTTTTTTCTAATTTTTATCCTGCAATTGTCTTCCATTTTTTTTATTGTTTCCCGATCTCTGTTTATTTTACAATTTTCAACATTGTGTTAAATAAATTTGTAAGATCTTTTCTTTTGAGGTTATAAGACCTATCATAATATTTATACAGCTGAAATTTTTTAAAATAAATATGGAGAAAAATACAATTATATTTACAATATCATGAGCAAAATCCGTATTAAAAAAACACCAAATAAGTTATTGTAACTATTTTTAAATAAAAACAGATATAAATGCTGAAATTCATATCATACATTTAGCATATGAATATATATCCTGAAATATTTACCAACAGCTGCTGATATATTCCAATTTCATATTAACAAGCGCTTCGAATAAGACGTGGGGAGTGATACGGGTTCGAATACTACCGGAAGGGAAGACACATCTTTATTAAGTATGCAAGGCGGTAGACGAAATAAATACTGTATAAAATAAACGGAGCGTCTACTCAAATATGGGTGTCCACTAAAAATAATGTTTGTAATAATACAAATATATCGGATTAAAAAATATCCAGTAATTCTTTAGAATCTTGACATAAATCATTTTGTTTAATCTCTTGATACGTTGTTCAGTCGGTTTTATATTAGTGTCTAAATATTTGAGCATCTATATCACACAAGATGCATTGTTATTTACTTATATCTATTATTCAATAAGTCGAAGAGTTTGACTATTTATTATAGATAAATACACACTCACACATATATGCGTGTGCGTCTACGTCCGTTTATGTTGGCAGGCGCGTACTTATGTGTATGTGTGTGTGTAGAAGACGGTATTGTTTTTTATTGTTCTGTAGTTAAACGATGGCAATTTGAATCATTATTCTTTTTCATTTTCTTCTCTTTGGCTCCCCCCCTCTCTCTCTCTCTCTCTCTCTCTCTCTCTCTTCTCTCTCTCACACACTCACTTTCCTTTTTGCTTCCATTCTTTCTTTACTCTCATCCTTTTCGGTTTCTCTTATTATTTTTTTTTCATTCTCTATAATTCAGCCATTTCTCTCTTCCTTCTTCCAATTTTTTCATTACCTCATTTCTTGACTTTCCTTCCATGTTTTCTTCTCAATGTTTTCTTTTCCATCCTTTTATGTTCATTCCCCGCATTCTTTCATTTATCTTTTTTTTTATTCTTTGCCTTCTTCTTTTTTATGTTCTTTTGTTTTCTTTATTAGCGTTTCTTATTTTGTTTTCACACACACACTCTCTCTCTCTCTCTCTCTCTCTCTCTCTCTCTCTCTCTCTCTCTCTCTCTCTTTTACGGTTTCAAAATTTCCCTTGATCGATATAAAAGCACTTTTCGAGACACTGGCCCGCGTTCACCCAGCCATTGTTTTTTTTTCATTCACTTCCAGCTCAGCGCAAATGGCACGTTGCTCTGCAAAGATCTCCAACACCAGAAGACATCATCGCTCAGATTTTTCTACACCTTTACATTTCTGTCCAATAAGGAATGATAGGTTTGGGCTCTGTGCAGGCGTTTCTCTATATATTTTAGTGTGTGTGTGTGTGTGTTGTATTTCTGTGGTATATGATAGGCTATGGTATTTATGGACGAGTTTTTTTTTAACTGATTCTAATTTTCTTATGAAATCGCGAAATGAAATTTTCCTTCAATGGCCACACTTTTCAATCGTTTTACTAATTAATGTTCTTTCGATCCTTAGACCTACGTTGTTCCCAATTTTCATCAATGACTTTCCCGCAACTATTTTTACTCCTGTCTTAATAGTAACCTCAAATTAGCAATTGACCTGCAATTTATGCCTATATTTCTGTGTTGAATTATTATAATTATTTACATTATTTACATTGTTCGGACTGTTGTCCTTGTCTTTGTTGCCATATTCACGACGTTTCGACCGTTGTACGCTCAGGCCTTCTTCAGGTGATTGAAATTTCGAACCGAAACCTTTATTTTCATCCTCCGGAGTCTTCCCTTTCATCTCAATTCTCCAAATCTTTGTTCACCTCTGTAACCAGGTATTGAACTCACAATTCTTTGGGTCAAGTCACTGATTCAGCCGACGCGTTATTCCACTGAGCCATGTGTCCTTGAGAACGTCAGTTTTTGATTTTTTTTAATTTTTGGAACTCATAAACCTAATGTTGCACTAATATTTTTTACCAGAGCTCATATTACAATTTAATGTTACAGTAATCCCCCAACTAAGGTGGGTGTTCTGTTCCAGAAGGCCCGCAATAAGTGAAAATCCGTGAAGTAGAAACAAGATTGGCTAAAGTGGTTCATCAGGATATTGTAATGTATATTTTTTTTAATTATATCTTTATATTAAATCTTTTATAAAGACTCCACGCACTCTTTTAAAACCTTTCTACACGCTTAAACACATTTTAAACATTTTGAAAATCAAACTTACCTTTAGAAACATCCTTATGTATTAAAAAAATAAATTAATTTAAAAACAAAGAAGTGTATTACAGCTCTTCTAAAGACAGCACTTCAGCAGCTGCTTTGTCAGGTGGCGCAATAACTTCTATCACTGCGGAAAACAGTAACTGCCTGTTCTGGTTTTTTTTCGATTGAGGAATATAGTGATGGCCAGTTGCTGGTGGTGCTTTTTCTTTGGTGAAAGGAGGAGGATTTTATAAAGTTTCTTCAACTTTATAAATTTAAGCGCAGTACCAAATATAACAGAATCATCTACATGCAAAAAAGGATAAAATAATGGAAGCCTTATTAATAAAAACAAAAAAAAAAACAACATTCAATAATATCAACTATGAACATGGACACAATATCTTGACCGTGTTTTGAAAATAAAAACATTATATAAATACATACATACAACAATCTATTTCTTATATAATAATATATTTCAACCTTGAAAATGGCTATACATTTGTATAGCCGAAAGCGCTCGGATAAAAAGAACAGTTGGACAGTTTTTGTATAATTTATCATCCGAAAAGAAAAACAAAATTATTAGATCACATGAGAAATTGTATAAAAAAAACTAAATCAAAGCACCTTGTCTGTCGTATTTAATGAAATATGCATGAAAGAATGATTGCTGCCTAAATACACAAATATATATATATATATATATATATATATATATATATATATATATATGACCCTTTATTATGTAGGATCCCTATATTATGTATTATGACACTTTTACTATTTAGAACCCCTATTGTGATCATAACCCCTTTATTATTTAGGACGCCATCGATTTCGCAAATAGTCGGCAGTCTACAGGAAGGATATATTGAGAGATATTCACATCTCTTTAATACTTGAAAGTGTAGGATCTTCTCCAACACGCTCCATTAATACTCAATTGAACCCATGTCGGACGTCTCCAGAATTCTCTTTAGATTAATTCTGGGTAACTCTACCACGATGACACGAATCGTTTTGGGGGTACATAGAGTCCAGCAATGGGTGAAAATGGCCAAGAACCAGTGACACTTTTCGGTCACTAGTCAACGATATCTTTAGATGAAAATGAACCCCAGCGACACCACTGTGAGATCCCCACCAGACTACACGGTAATTTATTGACAAGTAGGGTCCAGGGTCTCGTCGGGTCTGCAACACGCAAGCACCTTATTTTAAGACTAAAACAATTAGAATCATGCTCCAAAGTTGCAAGTAGCAAAATTCAAAATTTAGTGGTAATGGCTGCTCGATTAATGATGCTGGTAATAAATGTCGAATGTTTCCTTATAAAGAAATGGCTACTATTAGCATCGACTCAATCGGAATACCTAAGTTCAGTTGGATTTCTAATTCATGAAAATTTATTACACTAATTTATCGCTCGCTGAGCGTGAAACTTCATTTTCGAAAAGCAGTTTCAATTCTTCAAAAAATCGACTTAAAGCGTTTTTCTCTGTCCACTGTTTTATTTTTTTATTCGTTATTTATGCAGGTAGTGTAACGGACATCGGTGCCGAAAATGAAATCGGCGAACGATGTTCAAATATCAAGCTTGTTCGCTGTATTCACTTTTCACACAAATATCCTTGGAAAAAAAACATGAATCGAACTCTTCTATCCACAGTTATGGATTAAATAACAGGATTAACTGGACGATCTAACTTTGAGTGGTAGCTAATCTAAGAAATAAAATACATCGAATTTCGAACTGTGGAGAAAGCAATAGGAAATCACTCTTCTATCTTTCCCAAGAAGTGCTGGTAATTCAAAAATAATAAAGAACAGAACGCAAGAAGTCATGAAACTCCTCAGATTATAAAGAAATCTGTGGAGAGTCATGATCGCCTATGGGCTGAAGGAACATGGTTAAAAAGAAAAAGTGGAATTAACTTCCTTTGCCAGATTTGATTCCCAAACACACTTCCGTTAATGTTAATGAAAATAATCATTGCAAATCGTTTATTTGTTTTTACCAAACAGAATGTCACACATCTGACAAGTACTAGACTGATTATTGCTCAGACGAGATGATGTTTTAAAAAAAAGCAAACGCAAATTAGTCTTAATGAGACTCTCTGTCTCTCTCTCTTTCTCTTTCTCTCTCTCTTTCTCTCTCTCAATCTTTCAATTTCCTTACAGTTTTCATAGATCCTGTATTCTCCTAACATTTCAAAATGGCTAATCGATTTCAATGAAAATCTAACCAAAGAGTTGAATATTCATTCTTTGATTTACACCGACATTTATTTAGTTTTACCTTTTGTCAAATTTGCAATTGCTTTTCTTCCTGAGCTCAGAAATGCATATTTTGGCTTACTGGGGAAAAAAAAGAAAAAAGCAAGTTAACTAGTGCATTTTAATTGGAGCAAAAGGCTTTTTAAATCCTTAACAGGAAGTAACATACTTTATGCAAAATTAAAACATTTCTATGTCATTTTATTATTCGTTTTACTTTAAATCCGCTGAATTCGAAGATGTTTATGACTTTTATCATGATTTTTCCTTTGCATAATTGTTAAATAACAAACGAGAATGATACCCTGGCGATTTGAGTGCCGGATTTTCAGCACGCAGCACATTTTATTATGCTATGGTTTAATCTTACTTACGTTTCAAATTTAATTATGCAGCATTTAAAAGTGCGCAGAGCCATTCCAAGTGATTAATGGTTTACATAATCCTTGATTTCCGTGGCGCAGAATTTCCGAAAATGAATTCATTTTATCACAATTATCGCCACATTCAAAGCACAAAAGACATTTTAATCACTGTTAAACAAAACAATAAAATGTAGAATCATTTTTATTGCAATTAAAACAACTGTCACAGTCGGATAAAGTTTCTACCTCTTTAAGGTGAGATACATTTTTTAAATAGCTTTTTAAATTTTCTTCTTAATTTATAAATGTACTTATTTCTTAAAGATAACAACGTTGTTATTTAAGAATAAATTGATTTTACAAGTTTTATTTAAAAAGAATTATTCTATTCTCACTGTAGATAATTACAGATTGAATATTGTCTGAAGTCGAAGCGAATAGAACGTGTTTGCTAAATTTGTTCTTCTCCAAAGGCAGTAACAGACAATGAGTTACACTTTACCATGTAATGATAATGGTGAGAATAGCCGTTTCCATACAGCAAACATTTGACATTTATTGACCAACAATTAGCGTTATTGTCAGTTGAAATTTAGAATATTTTTCTCTTAAAACAGAAAAATGAATTTTACAAGTCCACTGTTTTCGTTCTTTCGAGTGCTGAAGAGTTTCCTACTAACCAAAGATATAGAATGTCAACATTTCAAATTATGTCTTTATTGTTATTTAGTCAAGTTCTTTGTGGTTTCAGAGGCGATAGTCTATAGGACAGCGTTTCTCAATATTTTTACCTATGTGAAACCTTTGAAATAGTTTTCATGTCTCAGAGAACCACTGCATAAAAAATTATTATATACCATTGTGGAATCTTCCACAACAAACCAGCCTTATCTATTTTTAGGAAATGCACTTTTCCTATCTGGTAAGTAAAATTCTACTTTCATACAATACAATACAAGTATTCATTGGTCAATCCCCTCCAATCTAGCTTGCTGATTGGTCAGTTCCGACCAATCAAACCGCCTGCACGCGACCAATCTGTTTTCCCGCTCATATCCTAGGAGCCACGACCATTATATAAACCGAACACGTGTGAACCTTTTGAGTAGAAGTTACCAAGTGCCAAGATGTAACATTCACCAACTCCTGTCTTAGTCATTGCTGACCAGACGTTAAAGATAATTACCAACGTTCACAATCTCTGAAATCACTCCTGAACTTTTACCAACTTTGCAAGCTCACAATTCCAAACTTTCTTAATATGAACTCCGG